TCGAGCCACCTCGACGTCAGGCGGTCGATGCGCCGTTTGCTTGAACCAGGAGCGAGCATGGTGAGCGTTGGATGGGTATACCTAGGTAACAAAGCGACGCTGGTCTCAAAGCTGCGACTAGCCAAATTACATTCGTCAGGAGATTTCCAAAGGCTCAAGCGGCCTAGAGTGATCGTCATTCGCAAAGTATTTCATCTCTGGTGGATTCTATTGCGAGCGCTCTTTCGGCGGTCCAGCATCTATTTGATGTAGCAGACATACATGCATCGCCTTTGATGGATGTGATACAGGTCGCTTGGGATGCCGTTGGTAAACACATGAATCGCATCCTCATTGTTGATCAACAATACCATCAAAAGAGTGATTCACTGCCTGCTAGAGGTGACACCGGCGCGATGGGAGGTCCAATAGCTCATTCGATGACGCGGTGTAGACCAGGATCGGGCGTGTTCTCGTTGTCAGTGATGTTGTTTTGAAGAGCGACCGAAAAAAAAGTGGTGGACGGCTGGCGACTGTCTGTTCGCCAGGTGTCAGGGGTTTCCAGGGTCGAGCACCTGACATTTTGTGGATTTCTTCCGGGAAAGGGCTGCAGCGTTCCGAAAGTGGACCCTCTTGGATGTTGACATGGCAACGGCAATTACGCGAAGCTCCATATCAACAAAACCCTCCGCCCGCTCTTCCCTGACCTTGAGCTTCCAGTTCAACCATCACAGCATCATGTAAATAAACGACAACATACTCTCGACAACCACATTATACTAATCCAAACCAGCAAACACCACCAGCACCCATTCTTCTCATCTTTGTTCTTGTACCCTCCCTCAAATCCCACGCACACACAAGATGGAGCCTCAATCACCCCCTAAGCGTATCACGCGCTCCAGAGCTGCAAAGACTGCCGATACCACGACCAACACTAGAGCTACCAAGATCGTGACCGCTGCAGCCAAGGCCAAAGCCAGCGTTTCTGCCCCGACGCGATCGACCTCGGCGAAGAGAAAGACACGAGCCGACGATGCTGAGGAGGGAGAGCACACCGAAGAAGCACAGCAATCCGAGGCCGCACCTCGTGCCACAAGAGCTACTAGAGGCCGCCCCAAGAAGACAGAAGAGCCCGCTGCAACGGCAACAGCACCCTCTACATCAAGTGGTGTTCCTGGCCGGGCAACTCGTGCACGAGCTGCTGCGCGTCAGGTTTCTGGCACACTCCCCTCGGCTCCCAAAGATGAGCCAGTAAAGCCCACCCGTGGCCGGCCCAGAAAGGTGGTAGCTGAAGAATCTGCCCCCAAGGAAGCGGAGCCGGTGAAGAAGACGACGACGCGTACTCGCGCAGCACCAGTCACAGCAGCAAAGCCCGCCGTCAAGAAGACGGTAACATTCCAAGAACCCGAAAAGGAAAACATCGCTCCTGACGCAAGTAAGAAGACGACCGAGAAGCCCGCAGCTACCACTGGTCTCAGGGGCAGACCAGTACGAAAGCCTCCCGTTCCCAAGGCACCTCGATCTACGAAGTCAGCCGCCACCGCCGCCGTCGCCTCCTCCACCACGAAGACGGACAAGACTCCTTTGAGCCCTAAGAAGGTTACTCAGGTCCCCATGCCTCGCGACTTCTCCGATGACGAGTTAGCCGGCCCGGACACGCCCCCGCGACCAATGATGAAGAGCCCGACGAAGCCGCCTACTGGTGCCCTCGGATCCTCCAAGAAGCTCAACCTGCTGCCCGCCGATAAGACCTCCGACTCAGAGCAGATCCATGATGACGAAAACTCCACCAAGCCTACGGACCAAGAGGACGAAGTCACAAATGCTCTTGCTTCTCCTGCAAAGAGACGTCCCAACTCGCCTTACCGGGACTCGATGAAGTCCCCGGCCAAGCGCGCCGAGGGAGTTTCTCTGAAGCCTGCAGCATCCCTACAGGCGAGTGGCGAAAGCGGTGCCGCATCCTCGTTCAAGTCGTCTCTGCTTCAGTCGCCCGCAAAGCGTCCGCAGTCTGCCATCAAACCATTTGCTTTGCCCTTGAACAATGAGGGCGAGAAGAAGATTTCCAACTTCAAGGCCTCTCTTCTTCAGTCGCCAGCCAAGCGACCCCTGTCCCCTATCAAGGGTATGGCTGCAAAGCCCATGGAGAGATTGGAGGAAATGCAATCTCCTGCCACAAAGCCTCTGTTGCTGTCCACACCCACTGCTCTGCGCCCTGTCAAGCGATCTTCCGAGAAGCTCATGGCCGAAGAGTCGCATGCCGATGCTGAGGATGACGACGAGCTCGATGAAGTCGCCGAGGCCATGCTCAACGAGTCCATTCATTTGGAGGAGCCGATGCAATTCCCCGGTCGCCTTTCAGCTGTCTTGCCAAGGCACGCAGACCCCGTTCTCAAGAAGAACATGCCTGTTCTCGAGGCTCCTGCTGAGGAGCAGAAACTGGCTGAAGAGGTTGACCAAGTTCAGCAGTCAGAGGGGCCTGCGGACGATGATGTCTTTGTTGATGAGGCTACTGAGGAGGGTTCGGCTTCGGACGGAGAGCCTATGATGGTCGACGACGAGCCTTACTTCAAGCCTCAAGCCGCGGCTGCACGTCAGCTCACCCTTCATGCCCCCAGCGGCATTTTCGGCCTCCGCCAGAAGGATATGGACCCGTACAACAACATGGAGTCTGACTCTGACGATGAGCTGGCCAACAGCCCCAGAGTTTCTTCAGCTCACAACTTGGTTCTTGCCACCCCCGCGAATTCTCGACGAAGCATTGCCAAGTCTCGGGTTTCCAGTGTTGGCTTCACTCCCTTGGCTGACCAACTCAACGCTTGGTCTGCTGCTAGCCCTTCCAAGACACCCAGACGTCCCGCCACCCCTGGACGCCCGGGTGCTGCCACTCCTCGCGCCGAGGATTCTCCCCTCCGAAGCACTTACTTTGAGGATGAGATGACTGTGCGCGCCGATATGGACGCCCAGAATGAAATTGAGGCTGCTATTGAGGCTGAAATTTCCGCCTCCGCTGAAGCCGAAGATCCCGAGTTTGACGACCTCATGGTCACTGAGGAAGACATGGCTCTTGCGGCCGAGGCCAATGAGATGTCTCTAATGGAGCCTGAGGAGATTGATGAGATTGTCAACACGTCCAACAGCTTCGATGACACTCTCTCTGAGGCAAGCCAAGAGTACGGCGACGAGAACGACATGCCCGTTGACCCCGCCATGTTCGGCGGCGATGCGTATGTCCCGCCAGTGACTCCTAACCGTGTTCTGGCGCGCGAGTTCTCCACCGTCTCCAAGGTTCCTCTGAAGCCTGCCGATGAGTCGACTCCTCGTCCCAAGAAAAAGCGTGCTGCCAGCATTTCCCGACTCCCAGTCATCCGTCCAAGCCTGAACAGGAGTGCTACCGTCATCTCCTACTCGCCTGGTAAGACCCATAAGGATGAGGACGAGCAGAACGACAACGAGCTCGACTCTGCCCCCGTCACTCCGGCCAAGTCTGATGTCTGGTCGAGCCTCGGGACACCGGCGCGGACTCCCCGCCGGGACCTCAACCCAGGTCTTCTCCGCGGTGCCGTTGTTTTTGTGGATGTGCACACCACCGAGGGTGCGGACGCCAGCGGTATCTTTGTCGAGCTTCTTGGTCAGATGGGAGCTCGATGCGTCAAGACCTGGAACTGGAACCCAAGTGCTACTGGAAACTCGGATGCCTCAAAGATTGGCATCACCCACGTCGTCTTCAAGGATGGCGGCAAGCGCACGATGGAGAAGGTCAGAGAGTCCAATGGTGTTGTGCAGTGTGTCGGTGTGAGCTGGGTTCTTGAGTAAGTGTCTTCTAAGTCCTTTTGAATGATGTCTGGCTAATCAATGGACACAGCTGTGAGCGTGAGAACGAGTGGCTCGAGGAGGCGCCCTATTACATCGACACCTCCATGGTTCCCCGTGGAGGCGCGCGCCGCCGCAAGAGCATGGAGCCCACAGCGCTCGCTAACCAGAACGGCATGCTTGTTCCCACGCCCGTCAAGGCTGGCCGGGATGCCAAGACTGCGCCTAACACGCCCATGAACCGACGTGATAGCACGGTGTGGATGCACACCCCTTCAGATGAGGCCGAGGACGACGACGATGACTGGCAGGGCCTGATCTCTCCGGTTCCTATCACGCCTGCTCCTGAGGCTCTTGCTCGCTATGCTGCAGAGACGCCTTCTGGGATGACTGAATATGACTCTTCTCCCACCAAGACTCTGCACATGCAGACCTGTCCTCCCAAGCAGAACACCTTTGTCCAGATGGGCGAGGGCATTCTCAACAGAGACAAGGATGAGAGCGTCATGCAGCGCTTGATGGCGGCTCGTAGGAAGAGCTTGCAGTTTGCCCCCAAGATTGGAAGCCCCTTGGCCAAGGCCTGGCGCTAGATGTTGATTATTTTGCAATTGGTTTGTGGTTTTTTGTCCACTCTGGCCTCGGCCGAGATGCGACGGGATTGGTTTTAGACGGCGTTCAATACGGATATGGGATACGGATTCCCAAGGGACTGGAACAAGGTGTTTAGGTTATTAGATTGGTTGTACATCAGAACATACGCTGCGCTGCGAGGGCAGCGTCGATTGTCTTTGGAACACAATTTGAAAGGGACTCTTTTGATCGTTGTCTTTCACTTTCAAGATATGAAAAATCCCCATCCCGTTGGCAAGCTTGATAGTGATGCTCGTTTGCGATTGTGAATATCTCAAGTCCCCTGACCCTTGTCCGTATCTGGCAAGGTGACGCATGTTGGCCGCGCGTTCTTTTGATTGGACCAACCAAAGTCCCGAGTCCCCAGAAGAGCCGCTTGACTTGACTCGGTGTCCCGGGGAGGCATTGATTGATAAGGGAAGATCCATCCGACACACATGAGACTCTGAGCTTTGATACCCATTTAGATTGTGGCGAAGATTATAGTCTAGACTTGGTTGCTCTTTTTTTTTTTGTTTTTTTTTGTGATTGCTCATAAATCTCTACTCGCACTTTATAGAATCGCAACAAGAAAAACGATGCGTTCACTGGGAGCCTTGACGGCGTCGCTGCTCGCGGTCCAATACGCCGCTGCCAACGCCGTCGCGGCGAACGAGGTACAGAAACCCGTGGGTGTATCACCGTCGTCATACCCAACGTCACAAGACGGACCCGGCTCTTCATCGCCCAAGAGCAGCGATGATGGGCCTGGACCATCATCATGGTACGCCAGACTGAACTACTCGTCCCCGGCGCCGCACCTGTTTGCTTCGGCGTACGGTCTTCTTCAGCAGTGGAGCAACACTGTGTTCCCCAACGGGCACACGATGGCGGCGGTGGAGGTTCCTGCGTTTACGCTGTTTTATCACGGGAGGATGGATGAGGAGGATGTGCCGAGTCCGGAGTGGCTTGCTTTTGATATGTGAGTTCTTTTTGCAGCACTTTTTTTTTTTTCCTGTGTTTATCACCCGTTTCTACTGCGGGGTTTGTGGGTTTTTTTGATACATGTTTTGATGATATATGGCATGTGTGTGTGTGTGTGTGTGTGTGTGTGATTATAATTATGGCCATAGTCCTGGAAGAAATAAATTTTGATTTACATGGCCTGGCGAGCTAACACGGGAGAATGCAGAGAAATGGCCTACGGCATCATGGGCAGCACACGCCAGAGCTTCATGCTCACGTACCAAACCACGCGGCCCGTGAAAGCGCTCTACTTTGACGGCGAGTCCGCGGCGCTGATGGGTCTGGGCCAGCTGGATACGCAGATGCTGCATCTCTACGGCAACGTATCCGGCCCGGGGAGTAATGGAGGAAGTCCATGGCACGGGTTGGAGCCCGAATACGAGAGGGCCATGGGGCTCTGCGACTGGTTGCTGGAGAAGGGACTGCGTGGACCGGGTTGGGGGTTCGAGGGGGTTGTGAGGATGAATACGGGGTTCGAGATGATTTGGTGTGATTTTGGGGGCGGTGGGAGTTTGAGGTTGGTTGGGAGGGGTAATGTTACTGCGCCGCAGTTGAGACAGGAGGAGCAGGATAACGGAGAGAAGAGGGCGGAGGAGGAGGAGGTTGAGGGGAACGTGAATAAGGCTGGTGGGAGAGTCCATGACGAGGAAGGGGTGCCGACGTCGGTGTACCCGCTCCCGCCGCAACCTACACTAACAGACCGCCCCGTGAGCCCTTCCCGTCCGCCGATGCCGCCCAACTGGCGCGGGATCATGGGCCCCGCCGAGCGGGAGCCGTTCCTGCAGACCCAGGGGTGGGGGTGGTTCGCCTCCGCGACCTGGCACTACGGGTCCAACGGTCTCGGGCAGGGTAAAGGGGAGACGAGGGCGAGGGTGCTCGGGTGCGGGGTCACGAGCTGGTACGCGGATCGGTTCTGGGGGTCCGTTGTGGAGGAGGAGCGGGCGAGATTGAATCTTACTGCGGAAGGGTATTGGAGTGATGGAGGAGAAGGCGGTGCTATTAGCAACCGGAGTGAGGCGTTGGAGAAGCTTGGGAGGCGGAGGAGGATGCATCATTTGGAGAATGTGACGGCGGAGGCGGCGGCAGGGATGAGGTGGGAGACGGAGGTGATGTTGAGGGATGCGCTTGTGGGCGAGGGGGGTTGTAGCGGGATGGAGTGGGTGAGTACGATGGGGGAGATTGTGCAGCGGACGGCTGGGCATTTGATGGTCATGGAAGAGAAAGCGAGGTTCGGCGGCGATGAGGGCGATGAATGGGCCAATGTGACGGCGGTGAGGGAGTGGCTGTACAAGTTGCGCGGGCAGAGCCATATGTTCCTCGTCTCGTTTCTGGAGTATCCGCGCGAGATTGAGAGGCAAACATGGGATGTCCGGGGCGCGCTATTTGCGGAGACGTATTCGCGGTGTCGGTATCGGTATACGAGGTTGATGGTTGATCTACCGCTGAGCGCGAGGGAGCGGGATCTGAGGGACGCGGTGGAGGAGGTTATGGGCGGGGTCTGCGGCGTGTTGCTCGAGGTTGGATTCGGTGTCGAGAGGGCGTGGTATGATCTCGAGCTAGAGGAGACGTCGGAGCTGAAGGCTGCGAGCGGAGAGTGGGCGGACGGGGTGAGGCGGCTCCGGGCGTGGGTCGGTTGGGAAGGAGAGTTCATCCGGTGCCGGGAGGTGTGCGGATGGGATGAGCGGTGCTATATCCCCATGTGGCCGTTGTTGAGGTCCATGTGGGGTGGCAGGAGACCGAGGCCGCCGCCGGAGGGTGGACCGGGGAACGGGACGGAGCCTGGGTATGGTCGGCCGCCGCCGCCGCCGCCGCCGTATCGGGGTCGGGGACCTGGGTATGGTGGGAACCATACCGGGCCGCCTGGGCGTGGGATGCCGGGGCGGAGTCCGGTATGGATGGGCGACGAGACGGATCTGTGGGAGCCGAAGTGCGTCAAGATGGAGGATATTATGCCCAGGACGAGGGGAGACTAGAATTTACGTCATCAGTGAGTCAATGTGAATGGTGTTCAAGGTTCAGCTTCGTGTATCAATGTCAGTTCGCTGAGCTGTGAAAGCTACCAAGAGCCGAGTCTGGGTCAAGTCGAATCACGCTGAGCACGCGGTCTTGGAGGAAACGAGTGAGTTCCAATGCAGTCCACTTGGGAGGAAGGACGTCCAATTCTATTTGAAGCTCGAGATTTTGGTCATCTGATCTAAAGACCACAAAAGTTAGCCTTGCCGTGATAAGGAACTATGTCGAAAAATGGATAGGGACGAACCATTGAAGAACATGTGTAATCCCGGGCCTCAACAAACATAACCTAAAACTTTTACTCCGAAGTCTATAACCATGCCAGCCGTCGACCACCCCGATCGTTCATGAGCGCAGGTACGCCTTCATCGCCTTGACCGCGTCTCCGTCGTTGGCCTTGAGCAGCTCCGTCGCCTTGGGCTTGGTGAGCTCCAATTCGTCAACCTATGTTCTCGTCAGCACGAATTTTTGTTTCATTCCCAACATTCGACAAATCTTGGTCTCCTCTCATGATCTGAATCCCCATCTCTTGGCCGTCTTCCGTCGTATGTATCAGGTGGGTAGGTTGACTAACCAGCAAGGCAACATCTGCCGCATCGACCTTGACGTTCTTAACCTCCTTCTTGGCAGCGGTGGCGCCACCAAGACCCTTGATCGCCTTCTGTGCGGCATCGACGTCGACCTGGCCGCTTCCCGAATCATCGCCGCCGGCATCGAGGCTGGCAAGGGCGGACGCGGCCTTGCGGTCCTCGGCTGACTTTGCGGGCTGGACCTCCTCCTCGACATCGCCGGCGGTGGCGCCCTCGACGACGGTGGGGGGCTGCTTCTCAGACATCGTGTACGAAAGGAATCGGTGATTGGAGCGTCGGTCGGTTCAGGGGCTTTTTGGCCAGGATTCGAAAGGCCGGACTATGTTCGTGTGGTTGAAGAGCTGTGACGTTGTGTGGACATTCGGGCACGACGCGGGCGGCGCAGAGGCAGCTCTTTCCCGTTGGAATCGAATTTATGGTGGGGCAGGTTTAGGTGGGGGCGGGGAGGGGGAGCTACCTTACGGTACGTACCTTACTCAAGGTATACACAGGTGAGGGGAGGTGTGCGGCGTGCCGCTTACACCGATGGTGAGCGTTCGAGGTAGGTCGGTACGCTTCGGCATAGCGTTGCCCTGGAGGGGGACAATGTACAACTTTATTTCTCAGGTTTAGCACCAGACGGCGACGCACACCACAAACTCGACACACAAACACGCAGGGTTTGGCGGATGGTCTGGTTCCTGAATTTGCTTTGCTCTCTTCGGTTCCGTCCCTCTCGTTTCCATTGGTCCATTTCGAGCGAAGCAAGCACACCGTTGCAGGTGAACAGGCCCTTGCCCGTTATTAAGGATTTTTCTGCTCGCATTCATCCCACTCACCGGCCCAATTCACTTCCTAGTAAGGTAGGTATAGCGGAGTATCCAGATTCGATCATTTACTGTTCCATGCGCTTTCGAACCAGTCATCCAGTTTGCTGTTGACTCACCAAGGTACATATACTAGGTCTCTTTCTCTCATGTCATGACTTCCAAGTTGGATCAATTTCAAAGCCATTGCTGATTTAATTCCAAGCTAACTTGCCTATTATTTCTCCAGCTTCTACCTGCGTCAGTTCTGGCAACAAATCAGCCCGGCACCACTTGACTGTCCACAGCTCCATCCTGAGTCACCAACACAGTCACCAATACAACACATCAGACCATGTCTTCCTCCGCAGAATGGTCGCCCGACTCCTGGCGCTCAAAACCCATCAAGCAAGCTCCCGCCTACCCAGACGAAGCCGGCTTGAAAAAGTCCGTCAAAGAGTTGGCACGGCTACCCCCCATTGTCCACCCAAAGGAAATTGTCGCACTCAAGCAGCACCTACGTGATGTAGCACTCGGCGAGGCTTTCCTACTGCAGGGCGGTGACTGCGCGGAGCTGTTCGACTACTGCGAGCCCAATGCAATCGAGTCAAAGATTAAGCTGCTGCTGCAGATGAGTTTGGTCCTCGTTTGGGGTGCCGACAAGCGCGTGGTGCGCATTGGCCGAATGGCTGGCCAGTATGCCAAGCCCAGATCGAGCCCTACAGAAATGGTTGACGGTGTGGAGATGCCTTCATTCCGTGGTGACATTCTCAACGGCTTTCAAGTTGATGAGCGTGAAATTGACCCGCAGAGACTCGTAAAGTGAGTCATGCACGAAAAGACAGTCATGTGTCACCACAAGAGCTAACCAGCACCAAAGGGCCTACCAGTATTCTTCGGCAACCCTCAACTATATCAGAGCATGCCTCTCATCAGGCATCGCCGATCTCCACAAGCCGCTGGACTGGGGCCTGGGCCACGTGCGGGACCCGGAGCTGAAGCGGAAGTACTCCGAGGCCGTCCTCTCCCTCACAGACATGCTCCGCTTCCTCCACACCATCGGCGCCGACCGCAGCGACAAGCTGGACACGGTCGACCTCTTCACCAGCCACGAGGGCCTCCTCCTCGAGTACGAGCAGCCGCTGACCCGCCTCCTGGAGACGCCCGTCCCGCGTCCCACGGCAAACGGCAACGGCTCCCGGAACGGCAGCAGCGGCCCCACCGAGACCAAGAAGGAGTACTATGACACCTCGGCCCATTTCCTCTGGATCGGCGACCGCACCCGGCAAATCGACGGCGCCCACGTCGAGTTCTTCCGCGGCATCGCCAACCCCATCGGCATCAAAGTTGGACCCACCACGCCCGCGGACGACCTCCTCGCCCTGCTGCGCGCCCTCAACCCGGACAAGGAGCCCGGCAAGATCACCCTTATCACGCGGTACGGTGCCTCGAAAGTGCGCTCGCTGCTGCCGGCGCACATCCGCGCCGTCGAGGACAGCGAGTACCACCGCTGCGTGGTCTGGCAGTGCGACCCCATGCACGGCAACACGGTCTCGACGGGCGGCGGCATCAAGACGCGGCGCTTCCGCGACATCTTTGAGGAGCTGCAGGAGACGCTGCGCATCCACAAGGAGCAGAAGAGTTACCTGGGCGGCGTCCACCTCGAGCTCACCGGTGATGCTGTGACGGAGTGTCTGGGCGGTAGCGAGGGGCTGGACGAGGATGATTTGTCGACCAACTACACGAGTTTCTGCGACCCGAGACTCAATGAGAAGCAGGCGCTCGAACTGGCCTTCTTGATTGCGGATCACTACAGGAATGAGAGAAGACCGGTTTTGTAAGGCGGCGGTCTTGGGGTTAGCAGAAGTTTATTTAGCAGCGGCATTTGGGTATTCGGGAACAAAATTGACCATGAAAAGTTCTTCTTTCGCACCTGAGATGAATTCATCTTACACTCAACCTAGCTCATGCTACTAATGCCAGGCACGCATGCCTCACGTCAGTGACAGTCATGGCGTAAAAACCGGGGTAAGCCACAAGCACCAGCACTCTTTGACAAACATTACGTACCTGCATACTCGCTGTAGGACACATGGACGCCTGGCGCCGTGAGAAGAAAGCAGGAGGAATCGATTTGATAATGAAACATGCAACCGCAGCCGGACCGCATCTCGGCTCACCTTGGACCCAACATGCGGGGAGGCCCTGGTGTTGTTGGTTCGTGTCCACCGGCTCACCGACGCATTCACTTGCCCAGCAGGGAAGTTTCAGGCGGATATCAGCGGGCCAAAGATAAGGTGGCAGGTGAGGTACCTCTCCTCACCTTAAGGTGCCCTACCCTTGGGCCTTAGCAGGCTCTAGAGTCTGTACAGCGCGCCTTACGCCCTTTTACCCCAGCGGCCGATAAGGGGAGCGGGGCTTCCCCGCGACTCCGCCGGCTACCCGTGACCGAGCGTGTAAGTACCTTGACCCCAACGCCGGTCTCTTCTCTTTCTCTCCTCTCCCTTGATAAGTCCCAAGCTCTCATCTTGCATCCATCATCTTACAACAAACCTTCACACTCTTCTCACCCGACATCGTGGGTTTTCACAGAGTCAAGGCCAGCTTCACTTTTCTCTCATAGTCGTAGCAACACCCGGTCCATACATACCTAGTACTTAGTACACATACATACAAGATGGTCTATCCATTCGACTATCTCCAACACCGTCGTGACTGGTCTGCCATCCCACCCGTGCCTATAGCCGCAACACCCATCCAAGGTTCACTAACACCAAGAAAACAGCAACTTCAAGCAATCCGAACGCGCGGACAGAATCCGCCGCCTCACGGCCTACAAAGGCCCCTTTTCACCACAAGACCGCCAGATCCTGGACAAACCCATCGAGGAACTCGTCCAAGATGTCCACAAGACCATCCTCAAGCCCATTGACATTCTCAAAACCTACGGTAAAGTAGCCCTCAAGGCCCACGAGCGCACAAACTGCCTCACCGAGGTCATGCTCGAGTCCGCCGAGAAGTGGGTGTCGGACGGCTCCGTCAACCTCAAGGGCCCGCTAGCCGGCATCCCCGTCAGCCTCAAAGACACAATCGTCGTCGGCGGATACGACACCACCGTCGGCTTCAGCAGCTTCGTGGGCAACAAGACGGCCACCGACGGCCCCGTCGTCCGCCTCCTCAAGGACGCAGGCGCCGTCCCCTACGTGAAGACCAACCTCCCCATCACCCTCCTCAGCTTCGAGTCCACAAACGACGTATGGGGCCGTTGCACGAACCCGCACAACAGCCGCTACTCCCCCGGTGGCTCCACGGGTGGCGAGTCCGCCCTCCTCGCCATGGGCGGGCGCATCGGCATCGGCAGCGACGTCGCGGGCAGCGTGCGGGCGCCGGCGCATTTCTCGGGGTGCTACAGCCTCCGATGCTCCACGGGCCGATGGCCGAAGCTGGGCTTCTGCACGAGCATGCCGGGCCAGGAGGGCGTGCCGTCCGTGTACAGCCCCATGACGAGGACGCTCGACGACCTGCGGTATTTCACGCGGGCCGTGGTGGGGATGAAGCCGTGGGAGTACGACTACAGCGTCCACCCGCTGGCGTGGCGTTCCGAGACGGAGAAGACGTGGCTGGACGACAAGAAGAAGCTCCGCGTCGGCGTGATGCGCACCGATGGCGTCGTGGACCCTAGCCCGGCGTGCAGGCGCGCGCTGGAGATGGTGGAGAACGCGCTGCTCAAGGAGGGCCACGAGATCGTCGAGATTAACCCGCCCTCCCCCTACGAGGGCCTCAAGATCGCCGCTCTGGCTTTGAATGCCGACGGATGCCAGATGTTCAGCACCTTCTTCCGCACGGGGGAGTGGAACGACCCGGGCGCCGCGCAGATGAAGTTCCTGATGAACCTCGCCAGTCCCTTGCGGTATCTCTACTACCTCTGGGTGAAGTACGTCCGCCGCGACGACATCTGGGCGGACCTCGTCCGGGACTGGCGGCCGCAGTCGGCGTTTGAGAACTGGAAGCTCGTCGCGCGGCGCGAGGCGTACCGGAATCAGTGGTTTGAGTGGTGGAACAAGGCGGAGGTCGACTTTTTGATCACGCCGCCTAATGCTACGCCTGCTGTGCCGCATGACGGGATGAAGGATGCGTGTAGTAGCTGCGGGTACACGTTCCTATTCAACCTGGTGAGTTTCTGTGGCTCTCTTTTCATTTTTTTTATATGTTTTTAAAGGATTGTGAGTTGCTAATCAATTGTCTAGCTCGACTACACCGCCGGCGTCCTCCCTGTGACACACGTGGACAAGGACCTGGACCAGCTTCCCGCGGACTTCAACATCAAGAAGCTCAATGGCGTGGCGTACGGTGCGTATAAGCTGTACGATGCCAAGGATATGCACGGCCTGCCCGTCGGCGTCCAGGTCGTGGGGAGGAGATTAGAGGAGGAGAAGGTGCTGTCACTCATGCAGAGGGTAGAGGACGCCTTGGGCGATGAAAAGTACAAGCTGTTGGACATTGACTGAGGTATTTTGGGAATGGGGTCAATGTGAAAAGGCAGACAAGATTGTCGTAGCTAACGATTTGTCAACTGAAGAGGAAAAGAATAAGTCATTGTTCTGCGCCGGTTTCGCGACCGACATATAATGTAGATCAGATCATTGGATAGAACCCAGTCATAGGCCCTCAAATTACTCCGGATATAAGTCATGTCTGAGAGCTGCAATATTGAACGTCGGATCCCCGTGCCGTAAAAGTTAGTCGGAGAAGGGAGATGCGGGGCAGCGTGCGGCCGTCGAGCAGGTCCGATCTCGGACGGTCGTCGCATCCTCCCAACTTCACTCATCCCACTTAAACTTCAGATTGCGTGTAAGTCGAAAGAGACATCAAAAGTTATATAAACTAGCATTTACTCACTCTCGTAAATACCAATTCCATCTCAGTCTCACACGCTTTTGAGGAGCTCATCAACACCAATCTTTCAAATCAATCATGGCTGAACAAAAAGAAGATAAGTGGTCATCCGAGGTAAACCTTATCTGCTCACCATCAATGCCTCAAGCATACATACCATCCTCAATAGATCTGGTACTGATACAACCTTCTAGGCCTACCAGCACTCTGCCTCATTCGTTCCCAAGTTGGCTACCAAAGTGGTTCAGTGGCTCGATGTGCAAAAGGACGATATCATCCTCGACGTCGGTTGCGGTGGTGAGTCCTGGCCTCGATTTTTTCATCGGTCCTCTCGATGATGGACTTGATCACAGTAGAGAATTCCCCAGTCTAAATGATCGAGTAGACGGCGTCCTCGACGTCGAGTTCGGCAAGGTCCTCTCTCAAGGAAAAGGCTCCCTCCACGGCATCGACGCCTCCCCAGGCATGATCTCCGCCGCCAAAAAGGCCGTTTCAGCAGCAGGCCTATCAAACTGCGAATTCGAAGGTACTGCTCTTCCCTCTCTCTCTACTCGCTGTCATCATACACTATCCATACATACTGGTACAAATCACACGTTGACTAATACTCCCCCCTCTCTAGTCCTCGATGCAACAAAAATCACAACCTCCTCAACACCAACCCTCCACACCCAAACCTTCACAAAAGCCTTCTCCAATGCAGCCCTCCACTGGATCCTCCGGCCCCCTGGGTCCCACATCTCTGTCTTCACCGCCATCCGCGACGCCCTCACTCCAGGCGGCACCTTCGCCCTCGAAATGGGCGGGCTGGGCAACGTAGCCGAGATGCGCACCGCCATCGTCATGGCCGTCGCGCGGCGTGTGGGCATCGACAAGGCCGTCGCCGTGGACCCCTGGTTCTTCCCCGACGAGGCGTGGTTGAAGACGGTGCTCGAGGAGGAGGTCGGCGGGTGGGAAGTGTTGAAAGTTGAGCGAGAGTGGAGGCCTACGACGGCGGATAAGGGCGGCGTGGAGGGATGGGTGCGGTTGATGGGCAAAGAGTTGTTGGATGCGGTGCCGGAGGAGGAGGGCCAGAGGGAGGAGGCTGTGAGGGAGATTGTGGAGGTGTTGGGGCATGTTTGTAGGATTCCGGGTGATGGGGAGATGATTAGTTATGTGAGGTTGAGGTGTCTTGTGAGGAAACTTTAGATGAGAGGCTGGATGGAGGGCATTCAATATCTTTAGTGAAGGGATGAGACTAGCGAGTATCTACAACTCATAAGATGGCTGCTAGCAGTCGTTTCCTCACCTATAAAACGCGTTCAATTCACTTCAGAGATGACACCGCCAGGAACCCATGCGACCACTTGCAATGGTTGCAAGCAGAGCCGGTCTCGGTGGGAGGGGTCATCAAAGGCAAGAGACCAGGGACAAGGGTGCCAACCTCGAACGTCTCTTTCAGGCACCAAAGCTGGCCAAGGACGCTCATCATCTCGTTCGCTTCGCCACGCTTTGGCTCGAACGTATTCGTCACTGACAAGCACGAGTTCAGCGAGGGGCAGTCACAAAAGTTGTAAGGATGCTTATTACTTTGTTTGCCTCACCTCGCTTTAACTCGAACGTACCGCTTGGATTTAAAAACTTTGCCGGCCATAGTAAACATGGCGCAGTTCGTCGTGTCCCTAGCTAAGGTGACGGCCTCTTCCTCTTACCCCATTTTTGTCTCCTCACCCTCTTGTGTATAGAAAACGCGCTGTGATTCCTAAGCCATAGGCATGTTTTTAGGACGCACTTTCATACGTCCACTGTGACAGGAGTTGTGAAAGGTGACTAATCGGCTCGAACATATTAGCTACGAACAATCACGACCTAACAAGAGCTTAGTCAAGAACATTAACAACCTTATTCGCTTCACCTCGCTTCGACTCGACCGTATTCGTCACGAACATGCACGAACGGAACATGGGTACCTGCCACAGACGCTTGATTGGTATTTATGCGTTCAGTGATAGTGCTAAGGTTACTTGAGTGCCTGCTGGTTTGCATTGGGACCTCCCTCTGACAGGAGCCGGCGGATGAGCTACTTCGAGCTCATCTCAGCTGTACTTCACCGTTCCGATGTGTCCTGCTCAGTTCAACTCGATTGTATCGGAACCAAGCACGTTGAAATAGAGCTTCCTCAGTATGCTCATGCCAATTTTCGTCGCATAAAGTTCTAGCCCGGCCGCACCACCAGATGGTTCTGGGCATTAATCTCACTCGCCTTGGATGACTTCCTTCCGCTTGCGACTGGTTGCGGTTGGCCCTTATATCTTACCTCTCAGCCTCAACCATTCAACCGATTCAAAGGCAGCATGCATCACCCTATTCACCCACTTCAGTCTCCAACCCACACATCGACGCCACGAATACGTGCGAGAGCGGGACGAACGATGCAAAGGGAGACAAAGACTTAAATATCCTCTATCTAATTCACTTTGCTTATTCGAACGACGTCCACCAGTGAGCGCTGCTCCTGCCGTCCCCGTTTTGGGAGTTCCGTATGACTAATATGGGCCTCTCCATCACTCCCTCTTTGGGAGCTCTCGAGAACACTTGGCGCTCATCCCATTGATGTTTCTTGTTCTTAGTTCCCCCTATTCAATAGTCGGTTTGAGAAGTGAGAACGGTCTTTTTAGCTGAGTTTACGTGACTCTTTCCGGACTTCTGTGTCGAGGCAGATCAGAAAAGGTGTGAGCCTGGCTTAACCGATAGAACATGGCTAAAGACAAGCCTCTATCGGGCTCTCGAGAACCTGAGAATTCAAATTTAACAACAGGCCTTAGTCTTACTCCCAAAACGAGGAGTCATTTTGAGGTGGCAGGACATCTTGAGCTCAGTCGCTTTACTCCTTTCCGACTTTTTCCCCTAAGACAGTCGGAAACGTATAGGCCTAATGTTGAGGACAGAGGGCATCAAGGAGAAAACTTCATATAGCTTTGAATAATCTCAGCAGTCAGTCTATTAATCACTCTGTTCTCTATTTCCTCAATGAATCATTTCTAAAGAGACAAAACTACTTGACCTGAACCGTGTTGTTGCCGTCTAACCTTGTGCATTGAGGTAATCGGTACATGAGATTCACAAAAGAAGCCTCGTTAAACCTATAAACTATCTAATCCGACGCCCCCCCCCCCCTTATGACTGTTCCTATATGTTAAGGTCTTGTGATTAGTAGTCAAAGTAGACTACACTACCCGAACTATGGAACTCTCCGTCAAGGGCGAATAATTCTCAACTGGAAGCACCCCTTTTAGCAAGGACATGTAGCATCAAGACAATCTTCTTCCTCAAAGGAAGCCTACCATCTTCCAAAAGGTATCTCATTCTCTTGACATGGCCTTGGCTTCATTTCAATCCACTGGTCAATTCCCTAATGGCCGTTCAAACATGGTTGTCACCACCTCTACGCCCATAGAATTACGCACATAGACCAAATCAAACCGATACTATTACTATAATCACAGCCAGGAGGCCTAATAATTTCACTCTCGAGGCGTCGTTCGTATAGACTAACCCCATCTCCCGCAAAACTAAAAGTGTCATTCCACCCCCTTCACCAGAATTTCGAGTCTTCCATCTCATCATCGGGCAAATTTACCTCCTTTCACCGACGCAGACTAGACCACCTAAGAAGAAGAAGATTGGCTAAAAATACCAACCTACGCAACCACGTAGGCTGTTTTGAAGAAGATTCTCACGATGTTAGGACAAACTTTTTCCGCCCCGTTAACCGCACTGGCTTTTTGACCATTTCCGCATGGGTTCCATGATCTAAATCCATCCATCCCAAAAAAGACAATGGCAAATATTTAATAGCAAGAGCACGAGCACGAGCCCGACTACCTTGTGCCGATGGGATGACAGAAACCACCCGGCCCTCCAGGGCCAAATCGGAATCGATCCATTCACCTCGAGCTACCTCACTCAAAACGCGACTACTCAGTATACCGATAATTAAAAAGAAAGAGAAATAAAGAAAAAGAAAAAAAAAACACCATGAGAAAAATGGAGTTGTGAGAATCGAGTAAGAGACACGGCCAAAGATGCGGAACCCATCCGAACTCCACCCCGCCCGAACACCATCCGTATAACCATCACTCCCACCCGGTCCGTCCGTCCGTCCGTCCGTCCGTCCGTCCGTCCGTCCGTCCGTCCGTCCGTTCGCCCCACCGTGTCTTCCTGAACTACTCGTAACGGCATCGTTCTAATCATATCCATCTCATCTCTCACCACCTACCTACCTTACCTGCTTGCCCGCCTCAACTCACAGGTAAGTCTCTCCACCCAACCTTCCACTCAACTCACTCGAATCCTCCACCTCCTCCCGGTGGTGACACCATCGGCCCACGACTAAGCGCCAGTCGAGAAAACACAACAACGTTCACCAGAAGTGTGCCGTCATACCCTATCAACCAGTCATAGCCGCCGTGTCCCCAGATGTCCCAAACCTTCTCACGACCCCCCTATTCCCGCTCTACCAGGAGCTCACTACAACCCAAGTAACCTCATAGGAGACATCACATATGGACAAAGCCGAAAAAGGCAGTCAAAGAAGCGAGCCAGTCACTTTGTGCCAAGATTCAGATATCAACTACATCATTCGAACCTCTTCCTAGATCACACCACCATCACACAAACTACTACACAAGGTACTTACATACTAACACCGATAACAAGTCGGACTTCCAACCGGCCAATCGACCAGTCCGTCCCACAACCAGTCCGTCCCACAACAAAAGCCACGCAACCACCACTCACCAGTAGTCAAGGGAAGAAAAAAAAAACTCAAAACATCGACGGTTTGAAATGCAACCACAACCGTCCACACCAAGCCCTGCACGTACCACACCTACCACATCACAGGAAAAGGTAAGCCGTCCGTCCGGCCGCTCCTCCCAAGCTTCCCTCCTCTCCCTCTTCCCTGGGCCGCGACCCCTCCCCTTTACCCGTCTCCACTCGATCGTCAGAGAGGTAACCCAAGTTCACTTGATTACATAGACCACCATCAGGCTCATGCATCGACACACGATCCAACGAGCGGCCTTAGCCTAGCTGAGAGCCGTCGAGTCCAGACTCTCACTCACTCACTTGTTTGACAACAACAAGACGGCGTACGGCTTGGCCGGCAACCTGAAAGCTGAGGCGAGTCACGGTCCGGACGCACTCCGGTGGGAAGCTTCGCAGGAATGGAATTCCCCGTCCCAGCTCTTCCCTGCTGCTTAATGCCATCTGTATTCTCATCCCTAGCGAGTATATCCCCTGCTACATTGTCGCCATCAGTAATGACACACCTCTTTCTTGCCAACGGCGTTCACGTCATCTCATGACAGCGGTTCGCACCTGTAGGTTGCAGTGGCTGTGCAAGATCGAATGAAATCGTATAATCACTTATCCTATATACCAAGGCCACATGAACACTTTTTCCTTCTATATCATGATAAAGACTATTGAAACCTGGGAAATAGAACAAGTTGCCATAGCTGAAAAAATGTGATATATGGACTTTGTATATATATGAGAGAACATTGACCGCCTGCCACCCCCGCCCATCGTCAAGAAATAATAAGTGGAGGGCGCGGATGGCGGCAAAAGTGGTGAGATGATGCACATCGCTGAGGGGGTTTCTTAATTCATTCCAGCCAACGCCTTTCCGCTTGCCGTTATTCAGCCAGCTCTCCTCTCGGAGCGCCGCTTCCCGCGGTCCCACTGCTGAGAAGCTGCTGATAGCTGTAGATGTCGTCGTCTCCTGGCATGAGACTCTCCTCCCCGTACAGAACTCGAGGCTTTCGCCAAGGCTCCTCGTTTTTTGACTTTTACTTTTCATTATTTCAGCCATCTCCACGCTTAGAAATGCTCCTTCCAGAATCGGAAGTTGACTTCGCGGACATCGGCATCCTTGCAAGCCTGCTTGATATCGCGAGCTACATGATTTGTTAGCAAGAAACTTGAGAAAGATGAAAGTATGATGCTTACCAGCTACTGAGGGACCGCAGAAGTAGACACCAACAGTCGTGCGCATGCTACCTTCCAAGCCGTTGAGGTATGTTCTGTCCAGAATACCATCGCGCATGGTTGTGAAAAGCTTGGAGAAGTTGGGTCGACCAAAGTTCGTTCGGGACTTGAGCTCAGTCAGAGGGTCGTGGTCTGATCCAACCGAGTTGAGCACA